TATATATAATTATATTCATATTTATATTTACATTTATATGTATTAATTTTGTTTATGTTGTATGGAAAATAAATTGACCTTTGAACTTTGAACTATCCTAGCTGCTCTTTCTATACACTTTTTAAGTACTGAAAGTTATTGTGGGATATGTAACGACCTCCCCATACAGTGCAATAGTCCAAAGATTTCCACCTTTACAGAGTTGAAAAAAATAAAACAATAAAGACCAAAAGGTGAACAAATTACAAGTTACTGAATCAAAAATAAAAAAACAAGCAATGTTCGCCAGGTTTATGCATTGTAATTTTAAAGTAATTTAGTTAGGAATAATATGTGACCATATATCGGATTTGGGAAAAAAGAGTAACTAGTGTTTAGGTATTTAGGCATATGCAGAGATCAGAGACTTTTTGAAATTATATTTAAAGCTATTAAGAATGTATTTATTTTTAGTATAATTTTGGCCCAAATATAGTTTTAAAATGTGATTTTCTTACCCCATCTGCAGATATGTTTGCACAACTCAGTTGGCTTTCATTTTCTGAAAGGGTTACGTATAAAAAAGCTGTACTTGTTTATAAATGTATTAAACAACTTACACCTTTATACATGGTTCCTTTTTCAAAAAACGAAAGTTATTCCACGAGTTTTAAGGTGACCGGGGCGAATATATGGAATGACTTAGATATTGATTTGAGAACTGCGACTTCTCTAAACATATTTAAATATAAATTGTACGAGGCACTAATTAAGAAAATATAACAAGTTACGACCATGTGCTTTAAATGCAGGGCCCCAATGGAAATCAGTGTTTTAACTGTTTGGACTACCCTGGGTAAATAAATGTAAATAAATAAAAAATTAAATGTAAATAGCATTCATTTTGATATTGCACATAACATATATTCTGAACAGGCATACATTTCAGCAAATAGTAACATTTTCTCACAACTAAAGCAGATATTTGAAAATAGAGTGGTATTTGTTACGGGTTTGATCATTCAAACAAGTTCTAAGCTAGCACCCTCTACTCAGAACAGAATATAATCCATAGGGGGCACTGCATGATATGCTATCTAGACTGCAATATTTCCTGTCTACCATTTCTTCATCATAATATTTTGTAAATTAATTTACATTGCTATTTAACTAATGCAGAACTTCATTAACTAAAAAAAAAATTAACAAGGTTACAAAAAAGCTTTACTAATAAACGTTTTTCATAAAGAAATCTTTGAAGTCATGTAAGGTCTTGGATTCGATGTCAAATGTATGCTGCTGGCACCTTGACCTCTGATAATTAGTTCCTATATAAAACAATTTTACAAAAACGTAATGCAATAAAAACAAAATGATTATTATTGTAGATTTTTTTGTGATATATATTTTAGCTGCTCTGAGTTTCTTTCCTATTCTTCCTTCTTCCTTTAGTCTTCTAAATTTTGCATTTTTCTTATTCACAATTAATAGATTGTAATTACACATACATATTCATTATGATAAGCTTATTTTTAAATTTACACCTTTTTATGTTTAAAAGTTAGATTCTATGTATACATTGTGTCTACATTTAATATTCCTCTATCTTTGTCAATTTAAAGTCGGAGGTTTGTCCTGATCCCGACCCTTCAATGTCACTATTGGATTGGCTTATCTTCATAAGATTTCTACGAATGACGCATTTTTTTTCAGAAAGTTTACTTTACAGTTGAAAGCTAATAAGTATAACATATAAATAAGGCTGTAAGAAATTCAAAACATTTTTCTCATGTTAATGTTGATTGTTTTTTTAAATTCCAAAAATTAAAATAGAATAATATTCACTTATTTTATTTTTTGTCAAGTTTTTAGTCTAAAAACTATATTGTTATATTCCAAATAAATTGAATATAAAAATCTTATTCAACATTAATATTTATTTTTATCATATGGATCTTGAATGTGTTCCATACCATTTTCTCCAACTTCAATTGGTTCCATATAACGATTTTCTCCAACTTCTTGTTTAAATATTTAAACTCCATAGTATTTTGTGCCTACTTCAGTTAGATTTTTCTTTTTTCTTTTCTAGATGAGTATATAACTTGTAATATAGCAGTACTGTGTTGTTTTTCTTTGCAGAAATATATTTATATTGTGAAGATGTTTTGTATCCAGTTAAAGTTTTTATTTATTTATTTTTTTAATTTATTTATTTAGGCATACAATACATGTGCCAAGGATTGTCAACAGCGAATATATCACTGTCCTACTTGTAGGTGACAATCCCTTACACAAGACAAACATACACACACGATGCTTTACACAAACTAAATCTCCATATGAGATTTAGGGAGTGCAGTTGTTTTTGTCGTGAGAAAAAAATCCTGCAACTGGCAGGAATTGAACCCAGGACCCTGGGATTGGAAGGCAAGCATCTTAACCACCAAGCTATTCAACTCCACTCCAAGTCATGAAGTGCTGATATATTCAGGAGCATTTAAATCTGTTGGCATGTTTTGGCTGATGACAGGGACGTATCCAGGGGGGAGCCGTGGGAGCCGTGGCTCCCCCCCTTTGTACACACTGTTAAAATTTTAAAGCTTATTCTTGAGCCAATACAAATTCTTTCCTGGGATCACTCAAAATGAATACTTCTAAACATGTAAATATGCATCAGTACCCGTTATACATAGG